TGTGTGGTGGTGTGTGGTGTGTGTGTGTGTGTGTGCCTGTGTGTGTGGTGGTGTGTGGTGTGTGTGTGTGTGTGTGCCTGTGTGTGTGGTGGTGTGTGGTGTGTGTGTGTGTGTGTGCCTGTGTGTGTGTGTGTGTGTGTGCCTGTGTGTGTGTGTGTGGGATGGCTCAACTTCTTTTGGTCCTCGTTGGTTTTGTTTGCTATTTTGTTAAGTTTTGATAAATCCTGTAACTGTCTGCGGGTGGTTGGCAGGTGCTCCAGTGTGGTTTTCTCCCTCTCTCGTATCAAACATGTATCGTCCTGATCTCTCCTCTTTTTTCTTTTTTTTTGTGTGTGTTTGTTGCTCTAGTTGTAACGCCTCTCATTTTCGGCACTTGTATGACCTTCTTGTGTTGCAAATGCTGTAAAATGTTCACTAAAACTAATATCTGTCTTCCATTCTCTCTTCCTTCTTTCCCTGTAACACCTCATATCTTCAGCACTTTATATCACCTGTAATATAGGTGCTGTAAAACTCCTTAAATTCTAAAACTCTTGCAGGTCTGGGCTGGGTAGAGGCAGCTTGTTCTTTTTTCGTGTTTTATATATTGTTGGGTTTTTGTGTTGCAAATACCGTAAGACTTGAGCTAAAACTTATTAAAAACGTTAATGTTGATGGTTGGCGGGTGCTCTGGTGTGCTTTGCTTCTTCTTCTTTCCTATCAAACATCTATCGTCCTTATCTCCCCCTCTTCTTTTTTATGTGTGTTACTCTCTTGTAACACCTCTAATCTTCTGGCGCTCATATGACCTTATGGAGTTGCGAGCGCTGTAAAATTTTTACTAAACTAAAATCCTAAAACTCTTGCTGGTCTCGGCTGGGTAGAGGCAGCTTGTTCTTTTTTCATGTTTTTTATATTGTTGGGTTTTTGTCTTGTAAATACCTTAAAACTTGAACTAAAACTTATTAAAAACGTTAATCCTTCAACCAAAACGAAGTGGGTGGTTGGCGGGTGCTCTGGTGTGGTTTGCTCCTTATTTCCTATCAAACATCTATCATCCTGATCTCCCCTTCTTCTTTTTTATGTTTGTTACTCTCTTGTAACAGCTCTAATCTTCTGGCGCTCATATGACCTGTTGTGTTGCCACTACGGCAATACTTGAACTAAAACTTTTTAACAACGTTAATCCTTCTAACAGAGTGCTGGGCTATCTTCCTACCTTGAGCCGGTCAAGACTGACCTCCGAGAGGTCAGGGACTCCACCCAGAAGGTCAACGAGGTGCTCCTCCGACTGGTGGAAGACTTCGAAGAGTACAAGGTAGGTCGGGGGTGGTGGGCGGGTGCTCTGGTGTGGTTTGCTCCTTCTTTCCTATCAAACATCTATCGTCTTTATCTCTCCTGAAACTCGTGCCCCTGTACTAGTAGGAACAAATCTGTTTTATTTCTCATTCAGTGAATAATAGAACAAGAGGTCCTGAGTGATTTTAGCAAGTTAATGGGACAACTTTTCCCATTTAGGAACAAACATTTCATTTAAAAAAATATAAACCAATGTACAAAAGTTTTAAAAATGCTTAGAAAATTGAGGTATCCAACCCGGTACCGGTACTAATACTGAGGGTAATTTGCCATTTACAACAACAAAAAAAGAAGTTTCATTCAGATATCTAGAATCTATATATATAAAGTTTCACTTAATTGTTGGTCATGGCAAGCTGGAAAATAATAAACG